CATGTGTGTTGATTTATGCCATGAATTTAGCAGTTGTTTAAAGCCATTTACATTTTTATTTTATTTTATTGATTCATTCATTTAAAAGAAACAAAATAAAACAAATTCATCAAAAACAAAACATTGAATGAAAAGTGCAGAAAGAAGAAAATAATTCTTATATCTCCCCCTTATTTAATAAAAAAAATAAAATAACTTTAAACAAACAATCAGTTAAATTAATCACTTTAATATCCACTTTAAAGCAGGAATTAATAAAAAAAAACACATTTTGTGTTAGCAGGATTTAATTCTAACTTTAAAACTTATCCAACATTAATAAAACTTACCTCAAGTTGCCTTTTTGGACATGCATGCATATATTTGTACAAATTGTACTTGAGAGGAGATTATTACAGCCTTATATAAAATCAATGATGATGATATCGGAACGGGATCGGTATCGGCCGATATTCAGATCTACATATCGGGATCGGATCTAAGTTAAAAAATGTGGATCGTGCATCCCTAATTCAAACATTTATTTTAACATTTATTATGTACATTGTGTGAATAGGCAAATTTTTAAAGTGGTTTTTAATACCGTTAACTCTACAAATATTTACTTGATATTACTACTGCTGTTATGATTCTGTTCAGTTTTATGTAAAGAGTTTTGTGATAATTTCAAGGTGGCAATACATTGATTATGTTCATTGTGTGAATAGGTAAAGTTTTAATCAATAATCCTGACTGAAAAATAGAAGCTACTCCTCCACCTCGGCCAGTTGTTCTAGGAACATGAAAATGTAAATAATTAACAGGAGTGGATTCATTTATACTAACAAAATCCTCCTGTTGTGGCCAAGTTTCTGTCAGACACAATAAATCAATGTGATGATCAGTTATCAGTTCATTAACTAACAGGGATTTAGAGGAAAGAGATCTGATGTTCAATAATCCACATTTAATGATTTTAGGATTTTGCTCTGGTAAAGTAACTGTGTTTATTTTAATCAGATTTTTATTGTTTATATTTTTAGAGCTGATTTTTTGTTTATTTAATTTGAGCCGTGGGCGAGTTGACACTGTTTCAATGTGGGTGTGGGTGGGTAACAGAGGAGAAGCAGCAGAGAGGTTTGGAGGACTACAACTCTGCTTCTGGACTGGACCCTGGGTTGTCAATAATTTGGGGGATAAACAAAATCAGCCATATTTCTAGAAAGAAGAGCGGCTCCGTCCAAAGTGGGATGGATGTCATCTCTCCGTATCGGACCAGGTTTTCCCCAGAAAGAACTCCAGTTATCTATGTAGCCCACATCGTTGTCAGAACACCACCTGGACACCCAGTGGTTAAACGACGACATACAGCCAAACATGTCATCGCTGGTCAGGTTGGGGAGGGGGCCAGAGAAAACTACGGAGTCCAACGGTTTTAGCAAAGTCAAGCCTGTTGCAGGCCCCATGACTCTCAAGCTTGCTACAAAACCCATGACCTCCAAGCCAGCTGCAGAACTCACCACCTCCAAGCCA